GTTTTGTGGTTTGCGTTATTTTTTTCTTTTCTGTCTCCTTGGATTTTTTTTTTTTTTTGAGTTTTGCATTTTGTATTTTAACTTTGTTTTGAATAAAATAAATATATATTTTTTTTTAAAAAAAAGAAAGAAGCCTGCTCCTTGTCCAAATAAATATCAATATTTTCTTTCACAGTTTTTTCAAAGCCACAGACGGTATAGTGTTGCCCTCTGCAGGTACTCCAGCCACAGGGCTCCAATTATTTTCTAAAAAGAACACAGGGTGTCCTTGACTTATAACCGTAACGGAGCCTTCCCAATGCCCATTATGTTCGTAAGTCGCGTACAGTCGTAAAGCAGATCTTCACGTGACCAACTCAAGTTTACGACCGCTCAATTTTACAACCTCCCAAAGCCCCAGGAAGAGAGGGGTAGTTAAAAAGTTTGATATCGGAATAAATACTTCCCCTTTTTTGCAAACACAGTGGTCGTTAAGTGAACCCATTGTTTGCTAAGGCGTGGGTTTTTTTGACAAAGGCCAGTTTTAGGCCAAAATACCATAAGACGCGGTCACGTGATTGCGGGATGCTGCAAACGGCTGTAAACGTGGGTTGTCTGCCACGTGAATTGTGGCCAGGTGACGGGGCAGGGGGGACGGCCGTCAGAATTTCCTAATTAAGTCTATTGCATCTGAGTAGCACCCACGTAGGAGAGCGTTGCTCTAACCACTTTAGCATTGAAACAAATACAATATAAAAACTGGGAGATTATTTTCCATACATGGATGGAAAGTAATCCAGGAGAGAAGCAACCTGGAACCAAGGAGGAATTTCCTGACAGTGAGAACAATTAACCAGTGGAACAACCTGCCTCCAGAAGCGGTGAATGCTCCAACACTGTAAGTTTTTAAGAGGAGACTGGACAGCCAATGGTATAGGCTTTCCTGCCTGAGCAGGGGGTTGGACTAGATGATCTCCAAGGTCCCTTCCAACTCTGTTATTCTAGTCTAGTCTAGTCTAGTCTAGTCTAGTCTAGTCTAGTCTAGTCTGTCCTTTCTCCTATTCCATTCTATTCTATTCTATTCTATTCTATTCTATTCTAGTCTAGTCTAGTCTAGTCTAGTCTAGTCTAGTCTAGTCTAGTCTATTCATTATTCTATTCTATTCTGTTCTATTCTATTCTAGTCTAGTCTAGTCTAGTCTAGTCTAGTCTGTCCTTTATTCTATTCTATTCTAGTCTAGTCTATTCTAGTCTAGTCTAGTCTAGTCTGTCCTTTCTCTATTCTATTCTAGTCTATTCTAGTCTAGTCTGTCCTCTATTCTATTCTATTCTATTCTAGTCTAGTCTAGTCTAGTCTAGTCTAGTCTAGTCTGTCCTCTATTCTGTTCTGTTCTGTTCTGTTCTGTTCTATTCTATTCTATTCTATATTCTATTCTAGTCTAGTCTAGTCTAGTCTAGTCTGTCTTCTATTCTATTCTATTCTATTTTCTATATTCTATTCTATTCTATTCATTATTCTATTCTATTCTAGTCTAGTCTAGTCTATTTGCTATTCTGTTCTTTATTCTATTCTATTCTTTCTTCTCTTCTCTTCTCTTCTCTTCTCATATGTTGAAGATTACCTTGTCAAGTGAGTTATATTAGAAATGAGTTTATTCTTTCTAGCAAATGATAGATGGCTAATTACAAGCCTTCATTTCAATTATAATACTGTTGTAAGAATTAGAAACTCTGGAGAATTCTTTTGCCTATTTAAAATTTGGCTTAAAGTCTATAGTTACTATGGAGAGTGGCAAAAAGAAAAAAGAAAGAATGTTCTTTTATCTGAACACGGAATTAAATCACAATAGTAATTAGCATCAGAGAAGTCATTTAATCCTTAAGAATCTACCCTTAAATATGACCAAGTGACAATTCCTTAAACATCCAGTTATTTGCTGGTATAATCATGCAAAATAGCTGGGGTCTTACTAATTAGGGGCTATGGAGGCAAACTACAAAGATAAAAATGTAAACAGGCGATATGTGCCTAAAAAACGATCAGTATGAAGCATAATATTCTGGGAAGTTGACTGTCCGGTCTCTTCTTAAAAATCTCCAGTAATGGAGCACCCACAATTTCTGGTGGCAAGCTGTTCCACTGGTCAATTGTCCTCCCTGTCAGGAAGATTCTCCTTAATTCCAGGTTGTCTCTCTCTCTTTGGTTAGTTTCCATCGGTTGCTTCTTGTCCTGCCCTCTGGTGCTTTAGAGAATAATTTGACCCCCCCTGTTCTTTGGGGCAGCTTCTGTTCACAAAATTGTCTTTGCTTGCATTCAGTTGACCTGCTGAATTGTGTTACATGTCCATAATCAGGGGGTTTCTGATAGTTTTATTTTTAAAAAGCCTTCTTCACCACTAGGTGCTCAAATGTTATCCTGGTCTCCCACCTTGTGGTGAGAACAGAAATTAGCACAGCTAATTACAACTTTAGAGATGCAGAATGGAAGGGACCCAAAATAAATCAATTACGGTCATCAGAAGAATCCAAATAGGAAATTTTTTTAATAAAACCAAGCTTTCATCGGAAACGTCCAACATATATATCATAAAGGTAAAAAAGGATATATGCAGCGTTATCTTCATTTTAGATGTCAAAATATATCATAAAGGTAAAAAAGGATATATGCAGCGTTATCTTCATTTTAGATGTCAAAATATATCATAAAGGTAAAAAAGGATATATGCAGCGTTATCTTCATTTTAGATGTCAAAATATATCATAAAGGTAAAAAAGGATATATGCAGCGTTATCTTCATTTTAGATGTCAAAATATATCATAAAGGTAAAAAAGGATATATGCAGCGTTATCTTCATTTTAGATGTCAAAATATATCATAAAGGTAAAAAAGGATATATGCAGTGTTATCTTCATTTTAGATGTCAAAAGAGTCTCTCTCTCTCTCCCCCTCCTCTCTCTCTCTTTCTTTCTGTCTCTCTCTCACTCTTTTTTCTCTCTCTCTCTCTCTCCCCACCCCCCTCTCCGATCTTCTGCTCACCTGACAAGCTGGCTTCAAGCTGTTCTCCAACAAGCTCAGAGGTAGGCAACCTCAGCTTTTTTATGACTCATGCAACTCCCAGAATTCCTGAGTCAGCATAGCTGGGCTAGCTAGCTCTCTCCTGCCCTTCCTGCTTCCTGCTTCCTGCAGAGATGCAGCAAAGGGAGGAGCCCCGCCCAAAAAGCTTTTCAGCATGTCAGAGAACACTGTGAGTCCATTCTCTTTTACACACACAGAGAGAGAGAGAGAGAGAGAGAGAGAGAGAGAAAGAGAGAGAGAGAGAGAGAGAGAAGCGCAAGTGCCTCTCTCTGTCTCTCTCTCTCTCTGCAAATGGCAGAGGAGGCTGGGAGCCACAGAGGAAGACTCAAAGAGCCGCATGTTGCTCTGGAGCCGCAGGTTGCCGACCTTTGTTCTAGTCCAACCCCCTGCTCATGCAGGAAACCTTATGCCATTTCAGACAAACGGTTGTCCAGTCTCTTCTTAAAAGCCTCCAGTGTTGGAGCACCCACAATTTCTGGAGGCAACTTGTGTTCCAGTGGTTAATTGTTCTCACTGTTAGGAAGTTTCTCCTTAGTTCCAGGTTGCTTCCCTCCTTGATGAAGTTTCCATCCGTTGCTTCTTGTGGTGCTTTAGAGAATAGCTTGACTCCCTCTTCTTTGGGGCGGCCCCTGAGATATTCGAAGGCTGCTATCACGTCCCCCCTCTTCCTTCTCCATCCCCAACTCCAGCTACTGTTCCTTATATGTTTGAGCCTCTTCGTTGCTCTTCTCTGTACTCTTTCCAGAGTCTCAACATCTTTTTTACATCGTGGTGACTCAAACTGGACACAATATTCCAAGGAACTATATAGTGGCACTAATACTTCACATATCCCCTCATTTAAAATGTTTACGAAGTTGTTTAAAGACTTTGGGCCAATCACCAGGAGACGGTGAGTTCTAGTCCCGCCTTAGGTATGAAAGCCGGCTGGGTGACTTTGGGCCAATCCCCAGGAGAGGGTGAGTTCTAGTCCCGCCTTCGCCATGAAAGCCGGCTGGGTGACTTTGGGCCAATCCCCAGGAGAGGGTGAGTTCTAGTCCCGCCTTCGCCATGAAAGCCGGCTGGGTGACTTTGGGCCAATCACCAGGAGACGGTGAGTTCTAGTCCCGCCTTAGCCATGGAAGCCGGCTGGGTGACTTTGGGCCAATCACCAGCGGACGGTGAGTTCTAGTCCCGCCTAAGGCATGAAAGCCGGCTGGGTGACTTTGGGCCAATCATCAGGAGACAGGGAGTTCTAGTCCCGCCTTAGGTATGAAAGCTGTCTGAGTGACTTTGGGCCAATCCCCAGGAGACGGTGAGTTCTAGTCCCTCCTTAGGCATGAAAGCCGGCTGGGTGACTTTGGCCCAATCCCCAGGAGACGGTGAGTTCTAGTCCCGCCTAAACATATCCAGCTTCCTCCTTTGAGTTGGCTTGTCAGAATCCAGCTGAGAAAGTCGCAAATGGTGATCACATGACCCTGGGAAACGGTGGTGGTGGTGGTGGTGGTGGTGGTGGTGGTGGTGGTGGATGTAAATATATGTCTGTCCCAGAAGTGTCTGAATTGTGATCACAGAACAGCATTAGTGGTGCAATGATTTTGTAACTGTGAGGACAGTCCTTTTTCAGTCCGATTCCAAATTTCTTAGTGTAAAGCAGCAGTCTCCAAACTTGACAAGTTTAAGACTTGTGGACTTCAACTCCCAGAATTCCCCAGCCAGCCATGCTGGCTGGGGGATTCTGGGAGTTGAAGTCCCCAAGTCTTAAAATTTGCCAAGTTTGGAGAGTGGCTGAGGGATTCTGGGAGTTGAAGTCCACAAGTCTTAAAGCTTGCTAAGTTTTGGAGCCTTGGTCTAAAAAAAAAAAAAACAAAAAACAGGATTTTTTTTTCCAGATTGTGGCACAATGTTTGCATTTAGATGAATTGATTTTGGGGTGGGGGGCTTAAAGAACGAGTTCACACACAATTTTGGCTCCTGGTTCTGCTGTTTTATTCATTTTTTTCCTGGATTTGTACAGCTCTATTTTACAGAATGCATTAATGCAGTTTGATGTAGCCCAAAAACCCTGTCACCGAGATAGGACTGATTGTAACACAAGTGTATAAAATGAGGCCAAATTATCGTATTTCCTTTTTTTCTTAAAAAAAAAAAAAAAGAAAAAAAAGAAAAAAAGAGAGAACAAAACAGACTTTGCTTTATTTTATCCGGAGTTTGCCCGGGGTCACTCTCTCTTTTCATCATCCTTAAAACCACACCGCCCGCCGGGGATTCAGTTTTGTCGAAGAAACGAAAGGCACTGTGAAAAAAACCAAAAAAATAATATTTCCCCCAACAAACATTATACATATATTTATATTTATATTTATATATATATATACAGACTGGAAAAAAAATACACTTTATATTATTTTAAATTCCTTCTGCAGCTTTAGTTTTCGTTTATTTTAATACACGCTTTTTGTTTTTTGTAAATTGTAAACCTTCACTTGCAAAAAAATACAAATACACACTCAAGGCTCTTAGACAAAATATTTGCTCACCAAGACGGATGCAGAAATTTTTTTGTTTGTTTGTTTTGTTTTAAAATATCTTGTTAAGTGCTCCTTTTTTTTTTTTTTTTGCAATGGTGCCTCTCTTCAGCCTCTGCCTGCAGAGACTAAACATAGAGACTTCAATGCATTTATACATATACATATATATATATATGTATATATAATATCTTTTAAAGGCACACACACACATATATATAAATGCATTTTACATATATGTGTGTGTGTGTCATTTATTTATATATATATATTTATATATATACATACACACATATATGTATATATATTTCATATATCTTCATCTATTTACAATTCCGCCATAATTTCCTTCACCTTTGGTTAAAAAGTTTAAAGCCCCCCCCTCCCCTTTCGTATCCGTTATACAATCTCTTTCTCTGTTGTGAAACACACACACACAAACAACTTTGCATAAAAAGATCTACACTTCGCTCTCGTAAAAACGATGTACATTCAATTTCTGCCTGCGGGGAGGGGGGGACGGGTTTTCGACAGTTCCCCCCCCCCACAGACGTTGTAAGAAAGGTCGTTGATCCTCTCTTCCGCTTGCACACACACGCACCGCGCACACATGCCACACAAAGTGCACATACAAGTAGTCCAACTGTGAAGTTTACACAAACCGGGGAACAGAACCGACCGGTGTAAACGGAACGTAAACTGTGTCCCTGTTTTGCACCCCATCTGTCTTTCGCTCCGGGCTTCTAGAGGCACTCGGATGTGTAACGACGACGACAACAACACAAACAGCAAGAACGACGACACGTGGGGTATTTTTTGTTTTTTGTTTGTTTGTTTCGTTTTTTCCTAAAGTGATCGAAGCATCCTTTGGACAACCCCGCCCGCTTTTTCCCCCGGAAGGAGCCTCTTTTGGCTTCATCCGCCGTTTTATGCCACTAGTCCTCAGCACGCCTTGGAGAGTTCCGGGGGCGCGTCGACAGGAGAGAGGCGGTACTGCACCTTGGTGTTCGTGATGGCGCCGTGCTTCTGCCGGAGGTGCAAGCGGAGTTGGCTCTTGTGTCGGAAGTGCAGGTTGCACTTTTCACACTGGAGGGGAAAAAGAGGCAATTGAAGTGGTTATGTTGTTTTAGCAACGGAGAGCAAGAAACAAAAGGCGAATGCTTGGGGGAAAAAAAATTAAAAATCGGTTTTCTTCGCAGGTAGTCCTCAACTTACAAACATTCATTTAGCGACCGTTCAAAATGGTACAACGGCACTGAAGAATGTGACTTACGACCGTTTTTCACACTTAACGACCGTTGCAGCATCTCCATGGTCGCAGGATCAAAATTCAAACACTTGGCAACCGATTCGTATTTATGACGGTTGCAGTGCCCCTCGGGGTCACGTGATCCCCTTTTGCGACCGTCTGGCCAGCAAAGTCACTGGGGAATTCATTTAACGACCGTGTGACTAACTTAACAACCCCAGCGAGAAAGGTCGTAAAGTGGGGCAAAACTCACTTAAGAAATGTCCCCGCTGAGGAGCAGAAATTTTGGGCTCAGCTGCGGTCGTAAGCCGAGGACTAATGTACCTGGCGTGGCCCAGAGCGGGTAAAAAAAAAAATAAATCAAGATGGCGGCCACATTGTACAGGCCAAGATGCCATCTTGACTTTGTGTTCTGCTCGGTAGACAAACCACAAAAGTCGGCTGCCCGGTAGACAAACCACGAAAGACGGCTGTCCAGGGAAACCACGAAAGACGGCTGCCCAGGGAAACCACGAAAGATGGCTGCCCAGGGAAACCATGAAAGATGGCTGCCCAGGGAAACCACTTTATATTGGGTTATAGTCTTAAAGATAATGTCTATAAAATAAATGTTATCATTGGTATATGATGCCAGAGAAATTATCTAGGACAGGGGTCTTCAAAATTGGCCCTTTTATGACTTGTGGACTTCAGCTCCCAGAATTCCTCAGCCAGGCACGCTGGCTGAGGAGTTCTGGGAGTTGAAGTCCGGAAGCCATGAAGGGGCCATAGTTCCCCCACACTGGCTGAGGAATTCTGGGAGTTGAAGTCCGGACGTCATGAAGGAGCCATAGTTCTCCCATTCTGGATGAGGAATTCTGGGAGTTGAAGTCCACGAGTCATGAAGGGGCCATAGTTCCCCCATGCTGGCTGAGGAATTCTGGGAGTTGAAGACCACAAATCATAAAAGGGCCAAGTTTGAAGACCCCTGACATAATGTGAGGGGGAAATAACGCTAACTCAGAAAGAACTAAACTGGTGTTTCTCAACCTCGGCCATTTTAAGAGATGTGGACTTCAACTTCCAGAATTCCTCAGCCAGCATACCTGGCTGAGGAATTCTGGGAGTTGAAGTCCACAAGTCATAAAAGAGCCAAGGTTGAAGACCTCTGATCTAGGATATGTAAAGGCATTCCAAGATGGCTGCCCAGGGAAACCACGAAAGATGGCAGCCCAGGGAGGTTTGTAAACCTGAAGGGTGTTGGTTTTTGTGTGTGTGTGCGCGCGCGCGAACGCTCTCCGCAAACAAGGATGTTGGCTTACATGGTAGGGCTTCTCTCCAGTGTGGATTCGCAAGTGGCTCTTGAGGGTCTGGAGATGTCGGAAACGAGTGCCACATATTTCGCACGGATACGGTTTCTCCCCGGTGTGGATGAGCACGTGCGCCCGGAGGTGGGCCACCTGGGAAAGGCAAGGCAGACGGACTCAGAGGCGCATCCCGTGGCCATTTCTCCCCACCCCTCCAAACTCTCGTGAAAAAAGGGGGCTCCGATTCTCTCTGCCCCCCCCCTCCGTCCTCTTCGTTGAAAGGAAAAAAAAAAACTTTTTGATTTCACCCACTTTGCAGGCTTTTAATGGGTGGGAGCAAAAGGCTGGCGTCACTGGGTCCAGATTTTTTTGCCCTCAGAAAACGATTGAAATTTATGGCCGACAAAGACCCCGGGGGTCCATTCGGCCTGTTGATTTTTTTGGTTTTGTTTTCAGTGTAATTATTTTTTTTATTTATTATTTTTAATGCGTTATTTTACTTTATCCTTTCTTCATCTATCTATCTGTCTGTCTGTCTGTCTGTCCGTCCATCCATTCATCTATATCTGTCTATCTATCTATCATCTATCTATCATCTGTCATCTATCATCTATCTATCTGTACCTATCATCTATCTATCTATCTATCTATCTATCTATCTATCTATCTATCTATCTTTCTATCTATCTATCTATCTACCTACCTACCTGCCTATCTATCATCTATCTATACCTATCATCTATCTATCTATCTATCTATCTATCTATCTATCTATCTATCTATCTATCTATCATCTATCTATCATCTGTCATCTATCTATCATCTATCTATCTGTATCTATCATCTATCAATATCTGTCTATCTATCTACCTACTTATCTATCTATCTATCTATCTATCTATCTATCTATCTATCTATCTGTCATCTATCTATCATCTATCTATCTGTATCTATCATTCATCAATCAATCAATCAATCAATCAATCTGTATCTATTATCTATCTATCTATCTATCTATCTATCTATCTATCTATCTATCCATGACTGTCTGTTCGTTCGTCCATCCAACCATCCATCCATCCATATCTGTCTGTCTATCATCTATCTATCATCTAGCTAGCTATAATCTAGCTAGCTCTCTATAGTATAGGGTTTCCTACCTGAGCAGGGGGTTGGACTAGATGACCTCCAAGGTCCCTTTCATCATCATCATCATCATCATCATCATCATCATCTATCTTCCTGTCTATCTATATCATCTATCTATTCATCTATTATCTTGCTCACATCCCACTCATTCTCAAACTGTTTGACAATTTCCTTCCTTGGCTCTCTGGCATTTGCTAGCCAAGGCTGGGCAAAAAAGTCAAGATGGCTCCTAGGGAAGTGTCATCCCAACAGCGCAGCCCTCTACATTTAAAAAGGCCCAGCTTCCATCGCACCACTGCGGCCGCCATCTTGACTTCTTTGGCCTGGGGAGGCCTCCGCGGCTCCTACTGCATCTCCAGAGGGTGGAGGGGCAACCGTGGACCCCCCCCCCTTCGGCCCCCACAGACACCCACCTGTACGAAGCGAGCTCCGCACGTTTCACATTTATACGGCTTCTCCCCAGAGTGGATCCGCGTATGAGTCTTGAGGTTGGCCGGACGGTTGAACTGCGCCCCGCAGATGCCGCAACGGTAGGGCTTCTCGCCTGTTTTGACCAACCAAAGGGCAGATGCTTAGCGCCTCAAAGTTATTTGTACACAAACAGACAACTCGGCTTTGAATCAGAGGTCTTGCTCAACGTCTGAATCTCTACATCCGTGTTTCTCGACAACTTTAAGAGGGGTGGACTTCAACTCCCAGAATTCCTCAACCAGGCTGGAGAATTCTGGGAGTTGAAGCCCAACCCTCGTAAGGTTGCCGAGCTGCTCGCCAACGTGACATTCCCTTTTCATAACACCTTTTAAAAAGTTTAGGCCAGAGGTCCACAAACTTGGCCCCCTTTAAGACTTGTGGACTTCAACTCCCAGAATTCCAAAGGCTTCTCTCGCTGAGGCTGCTGGGAGTTGAAGTCCTACAGGTGCAAATTGTTTCCCTCCCCCACCCCCCAGCCGTGTTGCCAATGTTTCAACAGGGTCATTTGCGACTCAATTTTGTTCTTTTCAACCCAACATTTGAGGGTCTCGGGGAGGGGGGGGGCACAGATCACAGAGTGCTCTACAAAACACACAACTCAGCTCCCCCCTCCCCCCCCAAAAGGTCATATGCTCCAGGCTGTTTTCCAAGGAAGAAAATGAAATTTCCCAGAATCCCCTGACATGGGGCTATGGAAAGACCCCTCCCTCAATTCCCAGGAGCCGATGCAAACTCCGTCCCTTTCTGGCATGAGTGGAACACACACACACACACACACACACACATCACATGGACTGAAGGAGTGCAATTTGCAAGCCACAACTGTGTAGTCCTCAACTTACAACGATCCGTTTAGTGACCTTCACAATGGCATTGAAAAGAAGTGAGTTATCACTGTTTTTCACACTTACGGCCATTGCAGCATCCCCGAGGGGGTCACGTGATCCAAATTCGGACGCTTGGCAACTGACTCGTATTTATGACGGTCGCAGCGTCTCCAGATCATGTGATCCCCTTTTGCGACCTTCAATGGGGGAAGAGCCAGATTCACTTAACCATGTAGCAGCAGTGATTCACTTAACAACGGTGGCCGGAAAGGTTGTAAAATGGGGCAAAACTCACTTACCAACCATCTCGCGTAATGACGGAAATGTTGGGCCCAATCGTGGTCGTAAGTAGAGAACTACCTGCGCTTGTTACTGGAGTGCCTGCTGCAGGGAGCTTTCTCACATTCGTCTGAAGCTTCCTGACACCACCTACAGGAGTCCTCGACTTACGACGACGATTGGGGCCAGAGTTCGCCATCGTTAAGTTGGGGTGGTTGTAAAGCAAGTCATCCTGTGGCCTGATCCATTTTCATGACATAATTGTAAGTGTGAGGACTGGCCCTAAATCACTTTTTTAGCACCATCACAACTTTGAACGGTCACAAAACGAATGGTCGTAAGTATGAGGACTGCTCCTAAGTCACTCTTTTTCGGTGCCGTCACAACTTTGGTTGCTAAACAAATGGTCGTAAGTGTGAGGACTGTCCCAAAATCACTTTTTTTAGCGCCATCACAACTTTGAAGAGTCACTAAATGAATGGTCGTAAGTATGAGGACTGCTCCTAAGTCACTCTTTTTCGGTGCCGTCACAACTTTGGTCGCTAAACAAATGGTCGTAAGTGTGAGGACTGTCCCTAAATCGCTTTTTAGCGCCGTCCCAACTCTGAGCGGTCACTAAACGAATGGTCGTTAAGTCGAGGACTACTTGCAAATGACCCTTCTTTTGCCATGGCTCTGCTGCCTGGCCCATCCCCGGTGGATTGGGCCAGTTCAAACCACACTCTGCGATCGATGGCACTCCGGAGAGCTGCAATTACGTGTCCCCCAGGTGAGGCTATACCTGTGTGGACGGTTTTGTGACTGGCTAGGTTCCCCTTGTAGCGAAACGAGGCCTGACAACGGTCACACTTGTAGGGTTTGTCACTGTGCGTCTGCAGGGAGTGTTTCTTGTACGCGGCCTCTTCCGAGAATGGGCACTGGCATTCTTTGCAGAAAAAAGACCGGGTTTCTGTCGGAGAGGAAGAGGGGACGCGGGTGAGAATCGCGTGGAACCGCGCCACGCTGGGCCACCCTCAGAACCAACCACGGGGTTGACCCTCGCCTCCCTCGCCGTCAAAAAACAAGCCAGGATTAGCCCTCGTCGAGATTCCCACCGGAGACATGAGATCGATCTTGGTCAATCCTGGTTTGTTTGGGGTGCCCCGAGGGGGGCGCCTCCAACCCGTGGATGGCCCGTTCACAAACCCGGTTAGGCGCGTTGTGAGAATGCAGGAAATGTTTGTACAGCACCTTGTGATCCAACAGAAGGGCGGAGCAGCCTTCAGCCCCCAAATGAATGTTGGGATATAATATTATCTAATATAATACGGCATCTAATAATTATGCTTCAAGCTACAGCAAAATCAGAAACGGGGGAAATACGAAAAGGGTAACATTTCTGAACCTAATTTTACATACAGGTAGTCCTCGACTTACGATCAAAATTTCCGTTGCTAAGCAAGACGGTTGTTAAATGAATTTTGCCCCCTTTTCTGCCAGGATTGTTAAGTGAATCACTGCAGTCTTCAGAAGGTTGTAAAAGAGGATCCCATGACCCCAGAACCATCATAAATATGAGCTGCGTGCCATTTTATGAACTTTTATGCCACGGTGGTTAAGTGAATCACTGAAATTGTGAAAGTCATTAAGTGAATCTGGCTTCCCCCTTGCCTCTGACTGTCGGAAGCCGGCTGGAATGGTCGCAAATGGCGATCACGTCAACCCGGGATGGAGCAACTGTCATCAATACATTCATAGTGCCAAGCTTATGAATTTCGTTCACGTGACCGTGCAGATGACGCAAGGGTCGTAAGTGCGAGGCCTTGTCATAAGCACGAGGTCCAGTCCTAAGTCACTTTTGTCAGTGCCGTTGGAACTTTGTCTCTAAGCAATGGCCATAATTCGAGGATTACCTGTATTAAACTGACCCCGTCTGCAAAAGATGAGCCTCCCCACTCAAGCAGAGTCTATCTTTAAGCGGAATCAAGCCATCCTTTTAACCAACATGACGATCACCCCCAAAAAAGTAACGGAAACTTACCACAACTGGAATCTGAATATTCCGATTGGGTTTCCCCCATTTCTTCTCCAAAGTTGGATCCGGGAGTATGAAGGCACATGTCCGAATGCTGCGGGGACCGAGAACTGCAGGAGCTGCACTTGGACGAATGCAGATACAACGGGGACTGGTCCTCACTGCTCCGAGGAGAACCATCAAGTGACCTACGGAGCAAGAAACTGGGTTAAGACTAACATCCAGTGGCGGGAAATTGCCCTTTGATTCTTCAGGGGCTGAGCTAAACCACGGTTTGTTACTCAGATAATACTCGACTCGGCTATCGCATTTGGCGAAAATGGAGCTTCTTTAAGTTACACAATTTGGCAACCACAAAGGGTCCTCAAGTCTCTTCAGGCAGTCCATGAAGTCAAATACGTAAATATTTTAAAATTTCTCGGTGTAATCCTCGACCTATGACCACAACAAAGCCCAAAATTTCTATGGCTAAGCGAGTTATTGAATTTTGCCCCATTTTACAACCTGTCTTGCCACAATTGTTAAATGAATCACTGTAGTTGTTAAGTGAGTAACGCAGTTGTTAAGTGAATCTGGCTTGTCAAAAGGTCATCATCATATGATCCCAGGACAATGCGACCGTCATAAATAAGTGTCAGTTGCCAAGCATCTGAATTTTGATCACAGGACCGTGGGGATGCTGCAACGGTCATAAGTGTGAGAAACCATCCTAAGCCATTTTTTCAGTGGTGTTGTAACTTTGAACAGTCCATAAATAAATTGTCGTAAGTAAAAAAGACCACACGTAATTTCTAGCGCAGTGAGTATCGATAGATGCAATACACAATAGCCCAGTGTTTCTTAACCTTGACAATTTTAAGGCATGTGGACTTCAACTCCCAGAATTGCACAGCCAGCATTGCTGGCTGTGGAATTCTGGGAGTTGAAGTCCACATGCCTTAAAATTGTCAAGGTTGAGAAACCCTGCTTGACTAGCCAAACTCTTTGGGTTCCTCAACCTTTTTTAAGAAGATAAAGGGGTTCCGCAAATGAGCTACACTATAAACCCAGATGTACAAACCAACATTTGTCCTGTTCCAACTCACCAAGGTTTGTATCCCTGTTAATCAAACTCCTGAAGTATAGATTTAACAACAGGTTGCCGGTTTTAATAGGCTGGCCAATGGCAAGCAATGCAGGGACTCTGCTCAGCCTATGCGCACCCCAAATTAACATGCACCCCAAATTAACCACTTACTAGGAACAGCGTTGTACAGTTGAACCCTAAACCCAGTAAGCAAGGCGAGTTCACACAACTCCTAAATCCACGCACACACAATGGTAAAACTCACTTCGGATCTCCTATGAATATGGGCATTTCTTCCCTAGCTGACCTGGGGACTAGGGTGTTGTGTGAATTACAAGCGCAGCATAATGGAGGAAGTTGTGGCCTGCCATCTCAACACCCCAGCCACACCGAAATTCGTACAGCTCCCAAAAGCTGGAAGACTTTTTTTTTCATGATTTACCCATAGCTAAAATGAATTTAACCAAATCGTTAAGGTGATGAGTACATGTACGTGAAAGTTAAGGATGATTTATTAGGTAAATAAATAGATAGCCTGTGCCTTTTGGGTAATTGTTTCAGAAATATTTCCTTAACCTAAACAGAGAAACAAAATAACAAAGGTGGGCAAAAAAAAAAAAAAAAAAAAAAAAAACGGTGGGGATAGGAGTGACTTTTGACTTCCTGCTGGCTTCCCCATTAAGTTTTCTTTGGGGAACCAGCGGTGCATAGAAAATCTTCCTTCCTTCCTTCCTTCCTTCCTTCCTTCCTTCCTTCCTTCCTTCCTCCCTCCCTCCCTCCCTCCCTCCATTCATCTTCCCTCCCTCCCTCTTTTTCTTCCCTCCCATTTCCTGCCTGCAAATGGTTATTGGTAAAAGAAGCAAGGGATTGCTAGAATGCCTGGGAAATTGTCATGGAACTAAAGCAACAATACCTCCCCCAAATTTCATCCCCTTGAAGTTGTGGGTCCCAGATTTTAAATGCTGCGTAAGCTAGTCCATTTGAGCTACCTGGCTTCAACAACAGTTGCGTTATGACCCACTGTTTCGCCCAGTTAAAAGTCACAAGAGTTTAACAGTGTGTAGATTACATTGACACTCAAGAAAAGCACTTCTGGCGGACACAGGGTTGGGAAGAGATGGCTGAATTAAATTGATTCAGCCTGTCTCGGCCTCAGCAACTCGAAGACATGAGGACTTCACCTTCTAAAAACGGTGGCTGGCTGGGGACTTCTGGGAGCTGAAGTCCACACATCTTCCACCTTGCTAAAGTCGCAAAACGTTGCCCTAACTCAAAATACATTTTAGCACCCCAGGGGCCAGGAAGATCAGACCTGGCGAGAAATTCGGATGAGACCCCACTAGTGAATCCAAATCTACACATACATGAACACCAACACACACACCCGCTGCGGATCGAAGAAGGAAGAGGCCCTCTGCCCCGTACCTGTTAAGAATGTTGTTTAGGCGGCTCGCTTGTGGGATGGTTGAGTCTTCCCCGCTGATGTTGAGCTTGGTTGGGGACTGCGCATCCATGTTCTCGGGTTCCAGAGATTGCTGACATGCCAAGGAGGGCCCGTACTGCCGTGGGGAGAGGGTCCCAGCCTCGGTGTGTTCGGGGCCGTCCTCCTTGGCATTCTGGTTGAGCGAGTTGAGCACGATAAACTTGTACTTTTTCCAGTTGCACGCCTTGGGGTCCGTAGGACTCTTAGCCGACGTCGCGCTCGGACCGATGCAGGCGTTCTTACTGCTGCTGGACTCGGTCGGCGAATTCGGTTGGCAGTCCGACTTCTGGGGGCTCTGAGGGCTGGTCACCACTTTGCGGTTCAAGGGTGCGTTGGTGGGCTCGAAGCACGGGGTCCTCTTGGCTTCGGGAGTGGACCTCTCCTCCACCTTGCTCGTTTTGCTGCACGCAAAGTAGGCGTTGTTGGCAGCCAGGGAGGGTGCAGGATCAGGGCCCGTCGTGGCACCGTAACGGACTTCAGTTTTGTTCTCCTCAGCCGCTTCTTCCTTTGGGGAGTAGACGGCGGGGTGGCAGAGGGCGGGGGAGATATTAGCCACCGCTCTGGTAAACTCGGTGGCGTTGGTCCGTTGCACGTTGCACGGTGCCGCGCTCTCTCTCGAAAAAGGGTGCCCTTTTGAAGCCTCCGAGATGGGCATCCGTGCGTCTCGTAGTTCTTCATCCGAGTACAGGTATCCGCCGATGGGCACGGGGTTGTAGCTAGTGTAGGAGATGGGGGATCCGGACATGCTGCTGTACAAACTGGGCATGAAGGCTCGCCCGTCGCAAACGGAACCGTTCCGAAGTGGTAAGGTGCTTTCCGAGATATCCCGGCTCCTGTAAGCCATCATGTTGGGTTGGCTGAGCATCTGGTTAGCTAAGAAATCTTCCCGGGAACTTTTGGCAGCTGAGACCATTTCCATTTCACTGAAGACAGAAGAAAAATGACGTTACGACACAGGTAGTCCCGGACTTACGTCCACAATTGAGCCCCCCCAAATTTCCGCTGCTGAGCGTGATGGTTGTTACGTGAGTTTTGCCCTGTTCTACGGCCTTTTCTGCCACGGTTGTTAAGTGAATCACTGCCGTTGTTAAGCTAGTAACCCAGTCATTAAGAGAATCTGGCGTCCCCCACTGACATTGCTTGTCAGACGGTCGCAAAAGGGGATCCCGTGACCCCGGGACACTGCGACCGTCGTAAATACGAGTCAGTTGCCAAGTGTCTGAATTTTGATCACGTGACCGTGGGGACGGCGCAAAGGTTGTAAGTATGAAAAACGGTCGTAAGTCACTTTTTTCAGCGCCGTTGTAACTTTGAACGGTCACTAAATGAACTATTGTAAGTTGAGGATTATCTGTACTGTATTTGGACCCCCCCCTTAGTTAAAAACATTCAGCAAACGCCCAGCAGAGGGCAGCACCTGATTGAAGTTGGGTGCTCTCCCAAAGCTAAACTGAGTTAAACTCAGTTTAATGCTCGGATGGGATATTTTGCCCTCTCCGTCGGCAGCTGTGGGATCCCAAGTAGGCTCCCAGCACTTTCTAACACCCAGAATTCCCCTTAGGCCAGTGTTGCTCAATCTTGGCCACCTTGGAGAGGTGTGGACGTCAACTCCCAGAATTCCCCACCGGCTGGGGAATTCTGGGAATTGAAGTCCACGCCTCTTAATATGGCCAAAAGTTGAGACACGATGCCTTAGGTTTCCTAGGAATTCATCCTACCACCTCTTTTTCTCAGAGGTGGACGAAGAAAACACGTCTCTTTTTAGGGGTAGAAAGCTACTGCCTCTGGGAAGGCAGGGGTACCGCGTTCAAATCCCACCTCGCGCTATAAAACCACCCTGTCTCTCACCTGGAGTTCAGGAGCCTCCGGCATGTGTCCACCACATGCTCCATCTGCAGGTAGAGAGCGGTGGCCATCACCGCCAGGATGTTGCTCTCCCGCAAATTGAGGCGAGACGTGTACATAAAATCCAGCAGGATCCCAAATCCTTCCGGGCTGATCTCTGGATCTAAATTCAGGACCGACAGGTTGCACTTCAGCTGGTCGGTGAAGATGCTATAGAAAAGGCCGCTGCGGGGAAGGAAAGGGATAATTCTGGTCAAGACGTTGCAAAAAAAAAGGCGTGGAGACTTTGGAAAAAGGTGCAGAGAAGAGCAACGGAGACGATCAAAGGCCCGGAGACTAAAACAGACGAAGAACGGCTGCGGGATTTGGGTATGGCCAGTCTAGAGAAAAGGAGAAATAGGGGGGGACATGATAGCAGTCTTCCAGTATTCTGCAAGGCTGTTTGGGTGGCTGCAAGGTGGCCATGATGTGGCCGCGATGTGGCCACGATGTGCCTGCAACGTGGCTGTGATGTGGCTGCAACGTGGCCGCAACGTGCCACAGTGAAAACTTTGGGGCATATCGGCATCTCTCACCTGCAGGCCATCAGCACCGTTTTGTGCGCCCGGAATTGCTCCCGGCTCACGATAATGACCACGTCAGTAAGGATATCCCGGCTCCGAAGGCGGTTGAGGTTGAGCAGAACGTCGCTGGCGTGCCGGGTGAACTGGATGCAGCTGTCGGCTGGGGAGGCCATCTTGGTTGTGTTCTGGGGAGGGGCAGGTAGAAGGGGGTGAGCAAGAAGGGGGGGAAGATATTTACTTAATTTTGTTGTGAGTTACACAATTGACAATATATTCTATTCTATTCTACTCTATATTCTATTATGTATTGTATTCTGTATTTCTATTCTGTTCTATATTCTATTCTATTCTATTCTATTCTATTCTACCCTACTCTATTCTTTATTCTATTCTCAATACATATTCTATTCTATTCTATTCTATATTCTATTATGTATTGTATTCTGTATTTCTATTCTGTTCTATATTCTATATTCTATTCTATTCTATTCTATTCTATTCTATTCTATTCTATTCTATTCTATTCTATTCTACCCTACTCTATTCTTTATTCTATTCTCAATACATATTCTATTCTATTCTATTCTATATTCTATTCTATATTCTATAATCTATTCTGTATTCTATTCTGTATTTCTATTCTATTCTTTATTTCTATTCTATTCTGTTCTGTTCTATTTTCTATTCTATTCTAGTTTATTTTATTCAATTCTATTCTTTATTCTCCTCTTCTCTTCTTTTTTCTCTTCTCTTCTCTTTATTCTCTTCCCTTCCCTTCTATTCTATTCTAAATACGAGTCAGTGGCCAAGTGTCTGAATATTGATCATGTGACCACGAGGATTCAGCAATGGTCGTAAATGTGAAAAACGATCCTAAGTCCCTTTTTTTCCAGGGTCGTTGTAATCTGAAACGGTCACTAAATGAATGCTTGTAAGTTGAGGACTGTCTGTAAGGGGGAAAGAGAGTTTAGTCCGTGCCCTCCTGTGCCCACCTGGATACGGTTCCCGGCTGCGTCTAATGAAATATTCTGCAGGGGACGCTGGGCGACGTGACTGGCACAGCATGGAATTTCAAGCACATCCCTCAGGCTTCCACTCACAATCCCAACGACGCTTTCGGACCTGGGCGAATTTAAAAAAAAAAAAAAAAAAGCAGGGAAAAAGAGAAGAAGAAGAAAAAAACAATGGTCAGAAATTAACCAGGTTAAGGCCTCACTCAAAACTTTGGAGAAAGCAGCATCACATCCCCAAGCCGTCACTATCAAGGGCGCCACGCGGTCATTACATGAATCAGATAATAATAATAATAATAATAATAATAATAATAATAAATAAATAAATAAATAAATAAAGTTGGAAGGGACCTTGGAGGTCATCTAGTCCAACCCCCTGCTCTGGCAGGAAACCCTACACCATTTCAGACAAATGGCCATCCCGTCTCTTCCAGTGTTGGAGCATTCACCGCTTCTGGAGGCAGGTTGTTCCACTGGTTAATTGTTCTCGCTGCCAGGAAGTTTCTCCTTAGTTCCAGGTTGCTTCTCTCCTTGATGAGTTTCCATCCGTTGCTTCTTGTCCTGCCTTTCTTAGCCAACTTCCCAACCCAAAAAATTGTTGCTTTGCCCTGTGCTTTTTGAACTCAAGACCGTGTCCTTTTTGTCTTCAATTAATTAATTAATAGGTTCTCCTGATTGAGCAGGGGGCTGGGCTAGAAGACCTCCAAGGTCCCTTTCAGCTTCTATTCTATTCTATTCTATCCTATTCTATCCTATTCTATTCTATTCTATTCTATTCTATTCTATTCTATTCTATTCTATTCTATTCTATTTTTAGTTCTATTTTGATATTCTTTTTGTATATTCTATTCTGTTCTGTTCTATTCTGTTCCACCCAACTTTTTAAATTCATCCACAAGGTGTGAGGTGCTCTCTGGTGGACTGCAATGATGTTTCAGCCCACAAGAGGGCGCTGCTGTATAAATGACTATATAAATTAAATTATCTGTGCTGCCTATTTAAGGAAACGGTGATCAGATGCCCACCAAATGAAAATAAAGGCTCCCTTAGGTTTAACTCGGCATCTGAGGACTTGATGGAAACAGAATAACGTGGAAATAGTATGTCTTTGTATGGATTTTTTCAAATTTCCCAATTTAGTTGATCACCCGGTGGTGCCCCATCCAAAGATTAACCAGATCTGATCTGCCCTAGCTTTTTAATTAGCTAGTTGCTGCCACCAGCTCCCTATTTCAATTGGTAGACATCACCAGGTCGCTGCTGCTGCTGCTGCAGCTATTATTATTATTATTATTATTATTATTATTATTAAGAATACATATTCAAACTGCTGATTATCCAGGTTAATTTAACAATGACCCAGGTCAACTTTCTTTAATTGTAATACCGGCTCAGATTGGACAACTCTGAGATACTCCATGAATGTCTAACTTCTCAACTTTGGGAGTCACCCAAATGAGGTTTTTAAACTCCCAGAATTCTCAGGGAGGTCCATGCTGGCTGGGGAATCCTGGGAATTGCAGTCCACGCGTCTGAAAATTGCTGAGGTCAATAGCTCCCCATGCTGATTATGGAGATGATCACCAGCAATGGATCTTTGTCAATGGCTCTTGATCAAATGTCACTTCATTATGGAGATGATCACCAAAGATGGATCTTTGTCAATGGCTCTTGAACAAGTGTCACTCAAGAAAAATCTTCCTCTCAAATGGCCATTTTAATAGAGTCTAATTCTATTGGCTTTCAAAAGCCAATAAGAATTGTCCAGGCTGTCTCTGCCCTGCTGAGCCCGCCAAAAGTCCCCTTCTGCAAACGGTGCTGCACCAGTTGAGTAGTCCTCGACTTACGACCGGTTGAGTAGTCCTCGACTTACGACCGGTTGGGGGTCGCGGCATTAAAAAGGTTGAGAACCACTGATCTAAACTGATTTGATTTCCCTCCCTTATCCCTTCGCTGGGACCATCTCTGGTCCCACCGAGGCTGAGGAATTCTGGGAGTTGAAGTCCACAAGTCTCAAAATGGCCAGGTTTGAAGACCCCTGTCTTACAGGTGCCTTAGGGGGTCACTGAACCCCACTTTTCCATTACAGCTAGTCCCGGACTCATAAGCGTTGGTTTAGTGACTGTTTCCAAGTTACAACGGCATTGAAAAAAGTGACTTAGGACCGTTTTCACACTTACGACCACTGCAGTATCCCCAAGGTCACCTATCAGCATTCGGACGCTGGGCAACTGATTTATGACGGTTGCGGCGTCTCCCGGGGTCACGTGATCCCCTTTTGCGACCTTCGGACGAGCGAAGTCCATGGGGAAGCCAGATTCCCATAACGACCGGGTTATTAACTTAACAACCGCAGGGGACAACTGCGGCAAGACAGGTCGTAAAACGAACCCAAACGCCATTCCATCAGAATAGAGCTGGAAGGGACCTGGGAGGTCATCTAGTCCGACCCCCCTGCTCAGCCAGGCCACCCTATACCATTTCAGACACATGGTTGTTCAACCTCCAGTGATGGAGCACCCACAACTTCTGGTGGCAAGCCGTTCCACCGGTTAATCGCACTCCTTGTTGAGAGAATATTGGAACGAGGCTGACCGCAGCTGATTTCTCCGATCCCAGCAGAAATAATAACAATAACTATTATTATTGTTGTTGTTGTTGCTGTTGTTATTCCACTGTAGCTCACTATGATGCAATGATGCATGCTCTGGAATAAACTCTGTGAGTCATAAAAGGTGCTAGCAGATTCCTTCGGTCTGGGGGGCTAAAATAAGAGAGAGGGGAGGAGATGAGTGGGTGTCGCTTTTGAAATATTAAGGGGCATAGAAAACTTTTCTGGAAGGATCTGAAGGGATGTCTTGTAGGCCCAGGTTTCTCAAGCTCAGCCATTTTAAGATAGGTGGACTTCAACTCCCAGAAATCCCCAGCCAGCATGAGTGGACTTCAACTCCCAGAATTCCTCAACTAGCATGAATGGACCAACTCCCAGAATCCTCCAGCCAGGAAGAATAGACTTCAACTCCCAGAATTCCTCAGCAAGCCTGATTAGGCCTCAACTCCCATAATTCCTCAGCCAGCACGAGTAGGCCTCAACTCCCAGAATCCTCCAGCCAGGAAGAATAGACTTCAACTCCCATAATTCCTCAGCAAGCCTAAGTAGGCCTCAACTCCCATAATTCCTCAGCAAGCCTAAGTAGGCCTCAACTCCCATAATTCCTCAGCCAGAACGAGTAGGCCTCAACTCCCAGAATCCTCCAGCCAGGAAGAATAGACTTCAACTCCCAGAATTCCTCAGCAAGCCTAAGTAGGCCTCAACTCCCAGAATTCCTCAGCAAGCCTAAGTAGGCCTCAACTCCCATAATTCCTCAGCAAGCCTAAGTAGGCCTCAACTCCCATAATTCCTCAGCAAGCCTAAGTAGGCCTCAACTCCCATAATTCCTCAGCAAGCCTGATTAGGCCTCAACTCCCAGAATTCCTCAGCCAGCATAAGTAGGCCTCAACTCCCAGAATTCCTCAGCCAGCAAGAATAGACTTCAACTCCCCCAAAACTCACAGCAAATATGAGTGGACTTCAACTCCCAGAATCCCACAGCAAGGATGAATGGACTTCAACGTCCAGCATTTCCCAGCCAGCGAGAATAATTTCAACTCCCAGAATTCCCTAGTCAGCATATGGGGACTTCAGCTCCCCAGCTAGTCACCTGTGCAACTCCTGGAGCAAATGTGTCCCACCATGAGGAATGACTTAGCCCATCTCTGACCTCTGGGCCACCACATTCCATCCAGACCCAGGTCACCTTCCAAACAGTCTTCAAGGGCAGCCCCACGTTAACCGCATTGCAGTAATCCATGCACGTGGACAGCCAAGTGTAGCTGATGCTCTACGGCGATTGTCACTAAATGGGTCTCAAAATAACACAAGAGAAGCCAAGGCAAAGAACTAACACCCAGCCCCTTTTGCTCAGGAAGCGCCCACCCCCCCAAAGAGGGTTTGCAACGTTGTGTGTCCAGACCCCTCCTCCATTGGCCACAGCTCATCCTAGACCCACAATTTGCTCAAAAACATTTCAGATCTGGCCTGCTACATTCACTTATTTCTAAACCAGGACCCTGGGCCACGAACAGTTGAGGTTGCATCTCAAAAAAATTAACCGCTATTGATGCTAATCAGCGCAGCTGCTAGTTCCTTCATTGACCTGGTTGAATGGGCTGTGTGAACACAGCCAGGATGGGATCCATTCCAGAGTTGGTCCACAAAGCTTTAGCACTGGGGTCTTCAAACGTAGCCCTTTTATGACTTGTGGACTTCAACTCCCAGAATTCCTCAGCCAGCATAGCACGCTGGCTGAGGAATTCTGGGAGTTGAAGTCCACAAGTCATAAAAGGGCCACGTTTGAAGACCCCTGCTTTAGCACATTCACACATGAATTGCAATCCAAGCTTGTCTCTTGATATCAAAGACCCAAGCGCTTTTAATTCCCAAAGCTTGTCGCTTGTGGGTTGAAAAATTCACCACACCTACACACAGATCGGCTCAAAGCCCTCCTAGAAATATCAGCAGATTTGAGCATAAATCAGAACTGGCGGAAAACCATGAAGAAGAAAAGCTTGCGATGAATTGGACAGTTTTGCAACCTTGACTTGGGTGAACTTCAACTCCCAGATTTTATCATCCTGGAAGTGGAATTTAGGAATAAATAATGTATGTTTTTTTTTAAATTGTGAGCTGTCCATCACTGATCTGAGATGGATGGTTATAGAAATTGGATGGATGGATGGATGGGTGGATAGATAGATAGATAGATAGATAGATAGATGGATAGATAGCTATCCATCTATTATCTATCTATCCAGGATAGATAGATAGATAGATAGATAGATAGATAGATAGATAGATAGATAGATAGATAGATAGATAGATAGATAGATAGATAGATAGATATGGGTGGGTGGGTGGGTGGGTGGGTGGGTGGGTGGATGGATGGATAGATAGATAGATAGATAGATAGATAGATATGGATGGATGAAATGGATAAATAGATGTAGATCAATAGATGGATAGATATAGAAGGATGAATAGCTAGACAGACAGACTGATAGACAATAGATCGATGGAGATGGATGGATGGATTGACAGACAGAAGAATAGATATGTAATGGATGGAGATGAATGGATTGACAGATGGATACGTAGGCAGGTAGGCAGGTAGGTAGATTGGTAGATAGACGGACGGATGGACAGGCAGATGGACGGACGGATGAAATGGATAAATAGATGTAGATGGATAAATGGATAGATATAGAAGGATGAATAACTAGATAGACGGACTGATAGATGATAGATCAATGGAGATGGATGGATGAATGGACAGGCAGATGGATTGATATGTAATGGATGGAAATGAATGGATGGATGGACAGATGGATAGTAGGTAGGTAGATAGATAGATAGATAGATAGATAGATAGATAGATAGATGGATGGATGGATGGATGGATGGATAGATAGATAGATAGATAGATACAGACAGACAGACAGACAGAGGCAGAGATAGAGACAGAGATAAATGGAGAAATAGAGAAATAGAAAGATAGAGAGATTAGATAGAGATGGATGGAGAGAGATAGAAAGATAGAGACAGACAGGGATGGATGGATGGATGGATGGATGGATGGACAGATGGTGCCAACAGCAACCAGCTTCCTGATCAGGATGGGGGCCTGACCAGCGTCCTCCCCTGGCGTAACCCCATCTATTCTACTCTGGGAAATGCGGATTCCTTCCGTGAAGGAATTAAGCCATGGCCTCCATTGGAAGCCAAGGAGCGTAAAGATGGTTTAACCTCCAGTGTTGAGGTGCTCCTCCCAATCCAGCCAAACGAATCCCGGCTTTGGGAGTCGAATTCTGGTGACAGCACCAACGGGAGGAAAGTCAGCCTCACCTCCAGGGCTGAGATTCTCCCGAACTAACCCAAGCAGCGGCAACTGGGTTAAATCGCACCCTGCATAAAATTCTTGAAAATCAGAAACCTCATCCCCTTTGGCTGTTGTGCATTGTGGTTTGCCCCTGGAATCAGACGTGCCGGGCCCTTTGTTCAACTGGTTCAGCCGGAATAGAGCCGGACGGGACCTCGGAGGTCATCTAGTCCAACCCCCTGCTCAAGCAGGAGAGCCTATGCCGTTTCAGACAAGTGGTTGTCTCTTCTAAAAAGCCTTCTTCTAGGAAGGAAGGAAGGAAGGAAGGAAGGAAGGAAGGAAGGAAGGAAGGAAGGAAGGAAGGAAGGAGTTGGAAGGGTCCTTGGAGGTCATCTAGTCCAACCCCTTGCTCAAGCAGGAGACCCTAGACCAGTGTTTCTCAACCTTGACCATTTTAAGGCATGTGGACCAACTCCCAGAATTCCACAGCCTGGAATTCTGGGAGTTGAAGTCCACATGCCTTAAAATGGTCAAGGTTGAGAAACACTGCCCTAGACCATTTCAGACAAAACCCTCCAGTGTTAGAACGCACACTTTCACTCTTGTGCCTTGGGATTGCACAACGAAAGTCCTAGCTGTCCGATATCCAACTCGCCTTCCACATCTATGGCTCCCTGCCCCCAAATCCCATTTCTGGATTTTACTTTGCATTTTGTTATTTTTAATGTCTTGTTTTCCCTGTCGGCTGTTTCCAGGTCCAAAATTAGCAGGCCGCAAATCTAATAATCAATTAACAGAAGAATTACAGGTCAGCCTTTCTGCTGGTTTGAGCATCAGTTCCCTAACTTTTTTTTTTTCCCTTCTGCCTTAAATAAGTGATTTTTTTTTTTTCCCTCTTCATCGCTCCCTCGGCTAATTTAGATCCATCGGTTCCTGCAGGACCTGATAATTAACCGGACAGGGACCTTTCGTTTCCGATTTAGACTTGCAAAGGATCCTGCCAACGGGTTTTTCCCTTGGGCTGTTTGCATAAACTTGTGAAAAAAGCAGTTTGTGTGGTGAGGGAGAAAAGGATGCAGACTCAATTAAGCCCTGCCCTGCTTAGAAAAAAAAAAAATCTAGTTTATTGTCCTTTTTTTTTTTTTAAAGGACTTGGCATTTCTGAAAAAGAAATATGGTTTTTAAGAACAGGCAGATAAATATATAAAAGGATGACCCTCGCCTAATTTTGCACTGCCAGGCGGATTAAATATTTCATGAATTTCCACTCTGGGGATGTTGCAAGGCTGCCGGTATTTTAGGCTGCCTTCGGATGGACTACGAAAACCTGAATGACGATTAAAAATTTAAAAGCCTCAGCACAAGGACACACGGACTGAATTTCGATTTGATGGAGAGAGAGAGAGAGAGAGAGAGAGAGAGAGAGAGAGAGAGAGAGAGAGAAATAAAGAGAGAGATAAAACAGAGAGAGAGAAAGAGAGAGAAAGACACAGAGAAAGAGAAAAAGAGAGAACAAAAGAGAAAGAGAGAAACAGAAAAACAAAGAGAACAAGAGAAAGAAAGAGAGAAAAACAGAATGAGAGAGAATGAGAGAAACAGAAAGAGAATGAGAAACAGAGAAAGAGAAACAGAGAAAAACAGAGAGAATGAGAGGAAGAGAGAAGGAAAGAGAAACAGAAAAAAAGAGAAAAAGAGAGAGAGAAACAAAAACAAAGAGAACAAGAGAAAGAGAACGAGAAAGAGAAAAACAGAGAACGAGAAAAAGATAGAAACAGAGAAACAGAGAAAGAGAAAAACAGTGAGAAAGAGAGAATGAGAGAAAGAATGAGAGAAAAAAGAACGAGAGAAAGAGAAAGAAAACAGAAAAACAGAGAGGAGAGAGAGAGAAAAACACACGAGAAAGAGAGAGAGAGAGAGAGAGATGGAAAGAGAGAAAGAGGAAAGACAAAAGGAACACCTGAACGAGGCTAATCCTGAACTAAACAAAAGTAACACTTTCTCCCCGATCCGGTTCATTTAACAAATTCTGAATTTTGGGGATTTTTTTTTTTTAAAGATCTCGTATACCTTTCTCGATGGACCGACTTGAAACCAAGTTTGTCCTTTGAATAAACCGGCATTAAAAATGCAAGCCAATGCTTCAATCTCTCCTTTGCCTGGAGCTAGGTCCCAGCCTCAGTTTCCCTAGTCCCAGCCTCAGTTTCCCTAGCCAACTAAGAGTTTTACAAGCACTCCTTGTTTAACAATCCGGCTGCTTAGCAAAGTTACAACAGAAAACCTCCACCCCTCCCCAAAGGGTCCTTATGACCTAGATCCAGAGTTGTGACGGCTGCACACCCACATACACACACACACACACACAACCATATGACTGAATTTTCACTGCTTGGCAACCAGTTCCCTTTTATATGTTCCACCGGTTGCAGGGTTCTGCGTTCAAGAGTCCACGATTCATGGTGGATTTTTGCAAGTTTCCAGTCCTTTCCAGCAAAAGAAAATCCCCCAAGGATTACACCGAGTTGCTTTACGAGTTGCCAAAATAAGAAGCATAACATCAGGGGTGTCTCGATTTACGACCGTCATGACATGACAAAAATTCCAGGTTTGTAAGTAGAGGAATCCCTGTAATTTGAGGGGGGGGGGCAGACCGCAGAGAAACCGAAGCCCCTGTGCCTATCAAGAAGGGATTGAGAAGAGGACAAAATCGGCACGATGCTAGTCCAGAATTTCTTGGGAAAGTTAGATGGGCAGGACATAAATGTAATAAATGAGCGATAAATCAAATAAACATCATCGCAACATTTTGCAATTAAAGGATCTCTGAAGGTTTTTTTTTGCTTTTTTTTTATTAATGGCCCATGCTCCACAGCTGGCATCCCTTTCCTGGGGTCACCTGGGGGTGGAGAGGGGGGAGATTATGGGGAGGGGCGGAGGAAATGGGGCCCAAAAAAGCAAAAACCCGAATTTCACCTCTACGCCTAAAAAGCATTTAAAATCGAAAGGGCCCCGAGAGCTGCTTTTCCACACCCGGCCACCAGAGGGCAGCGTTGCTCCGCGCACAAAGCCTGCCGAGTTTGCACAACTCCCGCTTGCCCCCCCGCCTGCCCCCCCAATGTTTGCAGGAGTCTTGAGACTGACCCCCCCCCCGTCCCTTACATTTCACGTGTAGAGCATTCAGACAGGCGACTTTTCAACCGGCGGAGAAAGTGGATCCATTCCTCTCCTGTCCCTTTTCCGCCTGAATGACTCAGACACCCCCCCCCCCAACTGGATGAAGCCGGGGGCGGAGAGCATCCTCCCCAATTGCGGACGGGCTGGCTTGGTGCACCGCTAAAAAGGCGCTTTCCCACGTTCGTTGGGAAGTGGGAGCAGCGCCCGGTTGGGAAATCGCGCTTTCCCGGGGATTCCCCCCATCCTCCCGAGTCAGGAACTTCTCTTTTGGCTTCCCATTTTGGGTGTGTGTGTGTGAACCCAAACACCCCCGTGCTCGTGGAACCCGCTTGGCCTCTCCAGGACAGACGCGCAACCCTCCCGTACACCGAGGGCTTGCAAAAACGGTCGCCGCGGGAGTTGCTCCTAGCCCTTCTCACCCTCTTTGGTCGCATTCAGACAGCCCTAGAAGCCGAGCGAGGATTTCCTCTCCCCCCCCCCCACTACGACTAAGAGGGTCGTGTGAACGCGGCCGTTCGGCCACTTGTTCAGATACAGAAAGGCAGCGAGCATATCTGCGTATCCGAAGCGCTTCGGGACACCTTGCCTCGGAAAGACGCGTGTTGCGCAAATCTGTGCATCGTTTCAACGTCTAGCCCCCGAGCGCAAACCCTGGTTCGGCCCAGTTAACCATGTTTAAGCGGGATCCAGGACTGATTCGAGAGCCTGCAGCGAGCGCCAGGGTTCTGTCCTCCAGGACGCTCCCCGGCGCCCGCCGCAGTGGCCGCTTAACCCGGTTGTCCGCTTCGAAACCCCGGCTCCCGCCGGCTCTTTCTTCTTAATATGGACTCGCAGCGGGCAGAGACGTGGGAACGCGACCCACGGCCCCCGGGAAGTTCGGCCCGGGTCCTCCCTCTGTGTACATTTTCTTGGGTCAACGGCCGGCCCGCCGACCGGGCTTCTTTTGAGAAGCGGCTGCGTTCACACGACCCTGCTACACCGGCTCCTTTCAGACTTCAGGGTCTCGCGGGCCAGGGTCAGCAGCCGGCTTTACCCTTGGCCGCGTCATCCCCGCTCGGCTGGGTCGCTGACGCGGACCGTGCAAAGGGGGAATCCTCCAGGCATCAAACCCAGCGTCGTGTGAACGCAACCGCTCATCCAGAAACACTTGGGGGAGAAACCGGCGTATACAAGACACGCGGATTTAGTCTCGGGCTGATTCACACGAACTAGGGAAACCTTCGCCAACAACTGCAAGGGCCCTCGAATACCCCGCTGCCCGTTTGCGCATTCTAAACCTTTCCCGTCTCGCCCGCCTTGCTTGCTGGTTCCGCTCCCAAATGCGCGCAAACGGGCAGCAATTGTGCAACCTCCCCCCCCCCCCAAAAAAACCCCAGCGAGATTACATTTTTATACGGTTTATACAATTTAATCCACCCATCCCAAAAAAAATTTAAAAAAAAAAATTCCTCCCCCCCGGCCGTAGCGCTTCTTCGGGCGGGTCGCGGCTCCGCAACCCCGGAGGAGGCGAGCCGAGGCCCGGACCGAGTAGGCGAGCCCCGGCCCGGAGGAGGCAGTCGAGTCGGCTTCCCCGCCCCGGCGCCTCTCCCAACTGGGCGGGCGGGCGAGCCGAGGGCCGCGGGCAGGTGCCTGGGCGACAAGGCGGCCGGAAAAGACGCCGCTCGGCCAGGCGAGAGGCGCCCGGCTCGCCGCGGCCCGGACGGGCCTGCCCGGCTGCGAGAAGGGCCGCGGCCGGGCGGGAGATGCGCTGCCGCGGATCCCCGCCAGCTTTGCAAGCCGCGGCGCTTTGCAATCCATCAATTTTCCCCACCCCCCCCCCGTGCAAAACAATTATTCAAAATAATAATAATAATAATGCCCGCTCGGGTCTCTGTGCCAGCCCGGCTGGGGACCCCCCCACACAAACACACACACACACACACACACACACCCCAATTGCCCGTCCCGGGAGCTCCGGGGGCAGCCAGGCTGCGATGCTCCGCCGCCTCCCCCCCCCCCCAAAAGCAGCTGCCCAGCCAGGCGAGCAGCGAGGCCGAAATGACGCGACGCAATTGACACAAGGTGGAATTGACAAGCCGACCAGGTAAACCCCTCCAAAGACCCAGACCTGGACCCAGACCCAGCTCCAGGTCCGGCCGGCCTCTCGTTCCCTGCCTGCCTCCCTCCCTCCCTCCCTCCCTGCCCGGCCGCCCGCTGAGCCGGAGAGACACGGCCGGGGCTGCCTTCCTTGCTCCTGCCTGCCTTCCACCTGCCGCGCCGGGGGGGGGGGAGGCGGAAGGCTCGGGCAAGGCGGCTCCAGGAGGGAAGCAAGGGCGGGGGTGGGGGGGTAGGAGGTCGGCTTGGAAGGCAATCCCGGCCGGGGGACAGAGGTGACTGGAGCGAGCAAGGCAGCAGGCAGCCAGGATCTGCCGGCTGGGGCAGCGGAAGGCAGCCCCGGGGAAAGAAGGAAGGCAGCCCCGGGGAAGGAAGGAAGGCAGCGCGCAGCAAGCCCTCCTGCTGCTGCTGCTGCTGCTGCTGCTTGCTGCCGCCACCCTTCTCTCCCTCCTTTCCCCGCGCGCATCCTAAGCGGCGGCGCAAGCATTCTCCCCCCCCCCTCCTCCTCCAGCGCGCCCGGCTGGTCGGCCGCCCGTCGCAGTGCGAAGCGGAGCGCGAGAGCGAATCACCTGGTCGGCGCGCTTTCCTAGAAACTCCTTGCATCACCACTTCTAAGAACCCCAGTTCTAAGAATCAACACCGCTCAATTCTCGGAATTTGAGCTGGGGGACGTACCACGCCGGGCGGCCCGGGGAGGGCGCGGGGGTGGCGGGGCGCCCTAAGAGCCCGTCTAGCCCGCCCGGAGGCTCCCCGGAGCCTCTTCCCGGCTCCTGACGGAGACCTCAGGCGACGAGCGAGTGGGAAAGACCCCTCCCGAGGCCGGGTCCGGGGTCCGCGCGGAGATCCAAGCGTCCGGGACACCCCCGCCGCCGTTGGTACGTTCCTCTCCGGCGAGGTCACGTGCCGCTTTCCCTCCCGTGACGTCAGGGCTCGGCCTGAATACAATGTTGCAGAGTTCCATTCCCTCCTCCCCTTCTCTCTCTCTCTCTCTTTTTTTTTTTCTTCTCCCCCCCCCCCTCCTCGGAATTCTGAGAACTCATTTGCGTTTTCGGTGACATAATAGAAATCCGTCCAGCCGGGCTAATTCCTCCGGGCGGGAAGGGGGGGGGCGACTCTCACACTAACCCCCCCCTCCCCATAAACTCCCACCCCCCCTTTTTTTAAAGACCCCCCCTCTCCTCCCTCCGGGCCGGGGAATGGTGGGAAAGGGGGGGGAGGGGGTGTCTTAGGCAGGTTTCAATGTTTGGCGGCGGGGGGGGAAAGGGGGGGGCTGAAAAGGGAAAGTTTTGCTTTGCGTTCAGACAAACAAATGCAGCCGCCGCCCGGAGAGACAGCAGCGACGGGGAGGGGGGGGGTCGCCCCGAAGCGAGGGTGAAGAAAAACCAAATCCGGATTGCGCTGCAAAAGAAAAACGGGGGCAAAAAAAGAAGAAGGAAGAAAAAAAAGAGAGAGAAAGCGCAGCGGCTTCACACGTTCAAAGAAACCCGGGACCTCCCCGTCTGGCTCGCGCCGCCCGAACGGAGCAGCAAGAAGCCTGGAATTGTTACATTTGGGGGTGACTTCGGGACCTGCGTGTCGGGAGCCTTTTAGAGACGGACGGACCGGCCCTTGGGGCAGACTTTCGCTTTCCTTAGCCTCGAGGGTCGTGGGAACGGGGAGATGAGAGAAAGAAGCGGGCATTTTGCTCCCGTAGGAGGACGGTCCTGCTCGGCGGAGCCCGTCGGAGAGCGAAGCCCACCCCGGGAGAAGAGGCGGCGGGAGACCCCCGCCTGGCTGGGGGACTTCCGAAGGATTCGCGTGTCTTCTTCGCTGGCACCCCGAAGGGACAGGCGGCGCCGCCGTACCCCGTTTTCTTCTTTTTCTGCAGGGGAGTCTAGAAGCGGGGAGGGGACGCAAGAGCGAAGCAGGCCCCCGCAGCGACCTTTCTGGAGCTTCTCCCCCCCCCCTCGCCCAGCCAGCGTTTGCATGGGGCGCCGGGTGAGGAAGAGGAAGGCAGGCAAGGGCGCCCGGGGCACGGATGGATGGCCTCTACGGTGTTGGGAGGACGGCGACCCCCTTAAGGTAAAGCCAAAGGGCTGTTCAAACACTTTGGGGGTGTGCGTGTGTGTGTGGGAGAACTGACCCTCGTTTTGCAACGTGAGGATGGGTGTATTCCTGGAGCGCGCCCCTTGGCAGAGGGCCAGCCGGAGGGGGCAAGTCGGGGGTCGGCGGAGGAGAGGGGGGGCACCCCTTTTCCTCGCTTCTTCTTCTCTCTCTCTCTCTCTCACACACACACACACACACACACACACACCGGGGCCCTAGAAGTGAGCTGACCGCGTCCTCGTTTGCCCCCTGACTCGAGCTAGGCTGCACGTCGGAATCCGGACCCTTTTCGGGCTTGTTTGTTTATTTAGAGACGGTCAACAGCCTCATTGTTGCCAGATGGTGGGAAGAGCTAAAAATAACCCGGCGACTTCCCTTCCCCTGCCCGGCAGGAGGGGGGGAGGGGCGCCCGCAATAGGGACTAGCGCCGGAGTCCCGTCCGAGGAAGGGGGTCTCTTGGGGGGAGGGGTTGAAAACCCCCCACCCCCGACAGTCCGCAGCCGTCGCCCCGCATGGCTCGAAGTGGGGGGGGGGCGTAGTGGGGCGGGGGGGGGGGAAAGGAAGGGCTCGTGTACTCTTAGGCCCAGATGAGAATTCTTCCCCCTTGCAGGAGCCGCGGCTGCTGCCTTCGCTAGCCGGGCGTTTGTGGAGAAAAGGCCGCTGCGGAAGGCGGATAAAAATAAAGCGGGTGATTCAGGGAGCGAATTTCCCTGAGATTTGCTGAGCGGGTGAATTTAGGGAGAACTCCTAGGATAAAATAAAGAGAGAGAGAGATCACACACACACACACACACACACCCAAAACACACACTGGAGAATCTCTCCTAATATTAAGTTGTTGTAGGAGTTCGCCATACATGCACCCTCTCAGCAAAATTAAGAGTTCTTCCTAAATTTATATATATTCCTCTATCTATCTATCTATCTATCTATCTATCTATCTATCTATCTATCTATCTATCTATCTATCTATCTAGTCTGTATGTGTGTGTACATACATACATGTGTACATGCATACATGTACATATACATATATTGGTATGTAAGTGTTTTTTTATGATGCACCCGGTCAGCCCAAATATGGGAAGAAGAAATATTGGGGTGTGTGTGTGTGTGTGTATACATATGCATGTATGTGTGTGTGTATGTATATACATATACATACACACACACACATACAAATATACATATATATTGATATATGAATATGTAGAAGATAAGATATATATCATATATCTATATATAAGATATATATCATATATCTAGATGACCTCCAAGGTCCCTTCCAACTTTACTATTATTATTATTATATCTATCTATATTATATATATATCTAATATATATATCTAGGGTTTTTTTATTCGGGTTTTCTCCCATGTCAAATTGGAAGTGTCTTGCCAAGACACTTCCAATTTGACACGGGAGAAAACCCAAATAACCAAAGACCTACATACAAACACCCGCAAAAACCTCAGAACACACACACACACACACACACACACACACACACACACACATATATATATATATATATATATATATATATATATATATATCTTAGGATGGCTAAAAATATAGAGAGTTTATAAAATTATATATATGTTACATTTATATATAGGTATATATAAAAACAGATCAAATACACACACACACATATATTACATACTATATATAGTATAAATATATAGCAAGCACACATATATATAGCAAGCGCACACACACATATATATTTATATATGAAAAGTATATAAGAGATTCTCCTAAATATAATATACGTATTTTATTATACATATATATATATATATACGGTATATATAATAGATACTCCTAAAATGTGTACATAGGGAGGTATCTGTGTGTATAGGAAGTTCATGTAAATATATTTATCATATCAGTTTATCATCTATCTGTGTTTGTGTGTATATAATGGGTTTTTTTTATTAGAGTTGTATATCTGATTGCATGATGTCTGTAGATGCCATACGTTAAGTAAAATTATCTATCAACTCTGCATCCATCCACCCATCTATCATCTCTCTATCATCTCTGTCTCTCTCTCACCTATATTATCTGTCTATTTATCAACTATTATCTCTCTCTCTCTTCTCTCTGTATCTCTGGCTGGATCAATTTTTACATGAACCCCATTAATTGTTTTTTGCCCTAAGCAGCCTTAGATAGCTAGAAAAGGCTTTCTGTCGACTTTTTCTGATTTTTTTTCCCCAAAAGGGCCTTTTTATTCAACTGCGTGTCTCTAAAGCTCTTTTCTTTTTAACTTCAGCCAGACACCTTGTTTTTCTCTCCACTTGGGCCCCAATGAACAAAATGGGTATAATGGCATCACATTTTGCGCTTCCCAAAAGCTTTTCCTTCCATTCTTAACCGTAAAACCTCCAGATAAGCCGACTCAACTGCTACGAAAACAAGCCGAAGGGAAAAAGCCAAAATGTCGTAATTTCATAACGCCGAAATGAGACACGGCCTGCTTTCTTAAAGATTTTATTTTACCCACAGATAAAACATCTGCCCGTTTTTAATAATCAGAAAAGTATTACAAAGTAGGGTTCCTGAATTAACTGTCCTTTGAAAGCAAACGTTGGTGAAAAGCAATGAGTATTATTATTATTATTATTATTATTATTATTATTATTATTATTATTATTATTATTATTATTATTATTATTATTCAGAAAAGCTCTAGAGATGGTAAGAAACAGGGCCCCAAAACTCTGAATTTTGGGCTTCCCCACTGCCAAGCTACAGGAAATTGTCAGTCAGGGTGACTCAAGAAATCGCGTCTGTGTTTTTTTTCTTTATCCGTCTTCATCTTTCCGGGCTTGTTTGAGGCCTTGTCTGGAGCACAGTGGGGACCTGTTAAGCCTCGGATGAGGCACCACTAGGAAATCCCACAGCCGCTGGCTAGAGAAGGGTTTGAAACGATATCCCAGAGAAAGGGAGACAGAAATATTATCTCTTTCTGCCTTGGTGCCAGGAAGTTTGCCCAGTCACTAGCTGTGCCCAGCTCAGATTGCAGAACTCTGCAATTTGCAGAATTCTTGGACGCCCGTCCCTAGAAAGCCCTGGCTGATGTGTAATTTCACATTTGCAATGCTGCTATTTCTATTTAATTAATTTGTATCCCACTCGTTATTATTTTCTCAAAGAACTCAAGGCAGCAAAGATATTCCCACACAACTTCCTCCTCCTTTTCGCCTGATAACAACAACAACGACAACAACAACAACAACTTTTGTTGGGCTGGAAGAGAAGAACTGGCTCCAAAATCACCCAGCCGGCTTTAATGCCTAATGTGGAACTAGGACTCCCAGTCTCCTGGTAATTGGCCCAAAGTCACCCAGCCGGCTGTTGTGCCTAAGACAGGACTACAATTCACCGTCTCCTGGTGATTGGCCCAAAGTCACCCAGCCAGCTTTCATGCCTAAGGCGGGACTAGAACTCACCGTCTCCTGGTGATTGGCCCAAAATCACCCAGCTGGCTGTTGTGCCTAAGGTGGGACTAGAATTCACCATCTCCTGGTGATTGGCCCAAAGTCACCCAGCCAGGTTTCATGCCTAAGGCGGGACTAGAACTCACCGTCTCCTAGTGATTGGCCCAAAGTCACCCAGCTGGATTTCATGTCTAAGGTGGGACTAGAACTCACCGTCTCCTGGTGATTGGCCCAAAGTCACCCAGCTGGCTTTCATGCCTAAGGCGGGACTAGAACTCACCGTCTCCTGGTGATTGCCCCAAAATCATCCAGCCAGATTTCATGGCTAAGGCGGGACTAGAACTCACCATCTCCTGGTGATTGGCCCAAAGTCATCCAGCCGGCTTTCATGGCTAAGGCGGGATTTGAACTCATGATCCCCTGCTTTTTAGACTGATGCCATAACCACTAGACCAAACTGGCTCATTTTGCACCTGCTTTTTTCACACACACCCCCTCCCTTCCCAGCCCCTGGACTTTCCCTTCTCATGGGACCCGTTTAATGTTGGGACGGAAGGCCTTCCAACTAGACCCGAGAAGCAATTCCTAAGAAGACCAGAGGGGGCCCCAGAGAGCAAGAGAAAACATTCCACCCTGATTTATGGATCCTTTGGATCCAATCAATCTCCACCCAATGGCAGCTTTTGCATTCTTTGCAGTAAATTCAGCAAAGAGATCTGAGATCCTGGCGGGTGATTCCAACTCTATATTAAGCTCCTAAAAAAAATGCTCGGAGGAGCCAGTCATTTGCCTGGAGCTCCAGAGGGGTAGAAACGTGGAGTTTAGTAAAAATCACAAAAATAGGTTTTTGCAAACGCCGGGCCCCCTCCAGATAAAAAGCTTTTCTTCCCATTCTTAACCCTAATCCTCCAGATAAGCCAACTTACCGTTACTGCGTGCACTTTGGTCATGAAAACAAGCCGAAGGGGGCAAAAAGCCAACATGTCATCATTCGCTACGCCAAAGTGAAAAAATACTGCCTGCTTTTTAAATTTTAATTTTATCCATAGACAAAATGTCGGCCTATTTTTTATAATTAAAAACATACATACATACATACATACATACATACATACATACATACATACATACATATATTCCTATGAAATGCAACGGAATAATTATGAGAAGGGCACAAATTATGATGGTTGCAGTAGATAGATAGATAGATAGATAGATAGATAGATAGATAGATAGATAGATAGATAGATAGATAGACAGAAAGTTTTTTCCAGATAGACCGGTCTGATTAATGCACCTTGGTATTTTTGACTGCTATACTGCAGTTCTACTTATAATCACTTTTTAACTCTTTGTCAACAAAAAAGAAATTTATATATATAAAAAAATACCAGTCAAAAATACCAAGGTGCATTAATCAGACCGGTCTATCTGGAAAAAACTTTCTATCTATCTATCTATCTATCTATCTATCTATCTATCTATCTATCTATCTATCTATCTATCCACTTAACGACCGGGTAACTC